GGATCAGGAGGGGTATAAGACAGTGGGTTTAAAGTGCTTAAAAAGTTATACTTTAAACAATCATGACAAGTAATTAATGGACCAAAAATATACTATATACATTTTATTTAAAAAAAATATTATTTCTATTATAAAAAGGGATGTATAAATTCATAAAATAATTACCTATGACGACAACTTGTGTGTAACCTGTCTCTTATACACATCTAGATGTGTATAAGAGACAGGGTTAAAAGATGGTTCACGACTCCTTAGTATCACTGCTGTGTATTTAGTCAGGGGTTCCAAGTCTCAGCTTCTGGCACTCCCGCAAGCAAGCAAGAATCTCCCGTAAACTCATAAATATTTGCATGTTTTTACTGCTTTATTATCAATTGCCTCGGCTGCAATTTGGTTATGAATAAGGAAACTTGTCACTGATCACAGTGTGCAGCAAAATAAAATTAGATGTGTTTATGAAAGTTGATTTTTACCAGATCTCCCAGAAGTAACTTCTGCAAACTTGGGACCACTGATTTAGTTACCATGGCAGTGTCCCTTTACAAGGATGCTTTTGAGTCTTTCAAAGTGATAAAAAAAAAACTTACCTGAATGGATAAGTAAGCTTTTTTGCATTCAGTTATGGAAAGTCTGTAAATCAGTGGAAATCAAATTATTTTCCGTCACATGGGCAATGCTTTTTTTTTTTAATGTTTTCCATTTCTATAGCAGACAAGCAAACTTCTTACCTGCCAAGTTCCACCTGGCAATCCATTACCAAGCACTACGTGAGGTATCTGTCGGTTTTTATCATGAATCCATTGCAAACATGACTCTTCCTCTGCTCCCATATCAGCATTGGGATGGTGTAGATTATCAAATAGGAGCGAGACAGGATTAGAGGACCTACCCTCCAGACCACTGCTAAGATACTCCAGATCCTGTAGGATTGAATACTAGTGTTCAGTGCATTGGTGGTTAAGTTTAGAAGCTCAAGGTCCTTGAATATAACTCTTACCATTTACATTCACATCAGTGTAGAAGGGGTAGGTTTACAACAATTACATATTGTCATGAAATTACTGAATTTAAAAAACCAACTAAACAAAAATGTTAGCACACAGTAGTTTCTGTACATTCAACCACAAATTATTTGTGCTTCTCTATGGTGTGAGCAACAATATGCAGATATTGATCCACCTACAGTAGCTGTATATACTGTAGTTTATTACCCAAAATTTATAGAAAAGTAAATCATCTTACTATACGGTTTTTATATGTTAACATTTGTTCGTATTTTGGCTTAAAGTCAGGCTCTGGAGGAAAAAAAATTTTTGATATGTTGTAGAACTGATTTTTCTAAGACAGAAAAAAGCAGTTTGATCAAAAACTGAGCAACGGTGAATGAGATACAGATTTTTAATATTTAAAAACTGGAGGAAAAAGGTGTAAAAATGGGCGGTTACGCCCCTTTTTTCCCCAGTTTCTAAATCAGTTCTTCAACACATCAACATTTTTTTCCCCTCCGGAGCCTGACTTTAATCTTATTGTGTTTACTATAATTTGCTTCAAGGTAAATGATAAACTACGACATAGTTTTAATTGAACATGCACTGTAATATTATATTATAAATCTACTGATTAGTATCTCGTGCTTGTACCTGTTCTAAGATTGATATCCCTTGGTTTTCAATGAGTCTCTGTTGCAGGAACTCAAGTTGATGGGGCTGTCCGTTGTAATATGGCCAATTGCCAGACAGAAAATATGACATGCATATCCCTGATGGACCGTTTCCTGTGAATCAAAACAGAAGAAACAGAATCAATCAACATGAACTTTTACAGCATCCCTAATGATGATAAAATAATTTTAAATGGACCCTGTCATTGTATGGGGATCAGGAGGGGTATAAGACAGTGGGTTTAAAGTCTATCAGGAGGGGTACAAGACAGTGGGTTTAAAGTGGATCAGGAAGGGTATAAGACCGTGGGTTTAAAGTGGATCAAGAGGGTATAAGACAGTGGGTTTAAAGTGGATCAGGAGGGGTATAAGACAGTGGGTTTAAAGTGGATCAGGAGGGGTATAAGACAGTGGGTTTAAAGTGGATCAGGAGGGGTATAAGACAGTGGGTTTAAAGTGGATCAGGAAGGGTATAAGACAGTGGGTTTAAAGTGGATCAGGAAGGGTATAAGACAGTGGGTTTAAAGTGGATCAGGAGGGGTATAAGACAGTGGGTTTAAAGTGCTTAAAAAGTTATACTTTAAACAATCATGACAAGTAATTAATGGACCAAAAATATACTATATACATTTTATTTAAAAAAAATATTATTTCTATTATAAAAAGGGATGTATAAATTCATAAAATAATTACCTATGACGACAACTTGTGTGTAACAGTGATCAATCTCACAGCAATGAATTTCACAATCAACAGAGAGTGAAATATTAGCCATTCCTTGACAGTTCTTAAGACTGCCAATGTCCAAATTCACCACCTGAAAAATATGTCCAAACTAAAGGCTTGTGATATTGGTTCTGTTTAAACTCGTCTCCACGATGAGAACAGTGTCAGCACCTCTTTAGCCACACACAGTGCAAATCATCCTGGGTTATTTAGCTTGCCTTCCAACTCACTGAATATTCATAATGCTGTATGGTTGCAGCTCATTTATTGGCTGTTGATAGAATAAAGTCATGGATATTCAGACACTGGTACTGCAGAGCTTATTGATTGGCTATTGTTAACATGACTCTGCATATTTTTCTAGCATTCTAGCATAAGCTGATTCGCCATACAACATTAAACAGATAGATCCTGTAATTCGAAACAAAAACCACCTCAACCCCACTATGGTTAAAATTTCTATAATTATGGCATTTCTAGATGGCCGGAAATGGCAGTCTGTTAGGCTCAAAATTTGAATGTAATTTTCTTTTACCTCCCACCCCTTTTGTTTTAATTTTGTCAGACTTAGGCCCCCCATCTTGATTATTTTTATTTATTTAATATCCAGGTAAAATCTATACAACAGAAAACATACAAACAAGATGTACCGTACATTACCAGAGGATTGGCACTATCAATTAAGTGGCTCTTCTATACTAAACATCTTTACATAAAGCATACATAAAAAAACAAATTTAAAAGATTCAAACATATCCACCAATAAAATATTGGATTTTAATTACAATAATTTACAGTGAAAGAAGTCTATGCCTATGCAAAATGTATTTCATTATTGGTAAGGCACGCACTGTTGTAAGACAAGAAAAATAATGTAATCATGAAAAATTGGTCTAAAAATGTGGCAGACCCCCAGTTATTTTTTGCGGACCCCTAAGGGATTCGCGGAACCCAGGTTGGAAACCACTGCTCTAGAGTATTCTGAATTGTTTTAATTTAATTTCAAAAATCGGCCTAGGCTATAGTCAAAGAATTTATGTGATCCTCCTCCCATCCCGGGCCTATTTCATATTTTGCCCTGTCGGGATTGCATACAAACAATAAAAAAATAAGCTTAAAATAACTGGAGACACAACTTACGAATACGAGTGAAGCAGTTATGCAGGTTTGTAAATCATGCTTGTCAAATTTGTGGTAAGTGTGAGTCGTCAATGGCTATCAAAAATATTGCCTTCTTCACCGAAACGGCTACCCAGGCCAACTACTCTACTCTAGACTAAAACTAAAAAAGGGCCTAGGCCTAGGGGTACAGTAGGCTCTAGCAGCTAGGCTAGGCCTACTAGGCCTATTATTAAATTAATAAATCATAATAAAACACCACTAACTAAATTACCACCAACCACCAGTAAATGTTGGTGCTAGGAGTAAGACGTAGCCTACCCTTCCTTCCCTAGTTATCAAATTGGAAGGCACCCCTGGAGCCATGCCTACTTAACTAGCCGTCTGGCAGCCGTCTGGTGTGATCTGCAGGATACCAGCTGTAGCATTTCGACTAATGGACTTTCCAACATTACTGATACACCATGTGAGTCCTGCCAACATTGAAAGAATAAAAGACAGCATCTTTACATCACATGGAGTTTCGCCTCCTACTCAGTTAAAAGAGCTGAAGGATCACAGAGGGAACCTGT